ACACACACACAGATACACACACACACCACCACCTACCCAGATACACACACAGATACACACACACAGATACACACACACCACCACCACCACCTACCCAGATACACACACAGATACACACACATACCACCACCACCACCTACCCAGATACACACACACAGATATACACACACACACCACCACCACTTACCCAGATACATACACACACAGAGCAGACCCAGATATACACACAGAGATATACACACCACAGACCCACATACACACACACAGAGCACCACACACCCAGTTTCATATTCACACACACACAGCACTGCAGACCGAGATACACACACACATTCACACTCACACACACACATACAAGCAAACACTAAACTAAGCCTGGGCAGGATGTGAATGAACTTCTTAGGCAGGTGAATTTGGCTGTTCTCCACCTCCCCGAGCCATGCCGGGGGCAGAGGGGAGAAAGGACTCTCACCTCCTCTCGGGGGGCACAGAAGTCCGGGATGGGGGCGCGGTGGTAGACGAGGCCAGGGCAGGCCGTGCGGTGCTGGCCGAAAGCCTCCTGCATGGTGAGGCACACCTGGAAGCGGGGGGTCCATGTGCCCACTGCGCCCTGGGGAGGCAGGCTCAGGTGGGCCTTCAACTGGGTCTCCAAGTTCTGGGGAAGATCAGCACAGAAGCCTCAGCCGGGCGGAAGCCTCTGGGCCACGCCCGACCACTCACAGCCCGTGATGGTCAAGGCCAGGCCCGTGATGGTCAAGGCCAGGCCCGTGATGGTCAAGGCCAGGCCCAGCTTCCGGTGCAGCTCTGCCCCTCCCTGAGCCTCAGGGTCACATCCCAAACTGGTCACTCCCTAAGCCTGCACCTCTCAGGCCTGTCTCCCCATCTATACATGAGGAATGCGCAAATGCTTCAAGACCTCCCCAGGCCAATTCCCCAGAAGGCCTCACCTCCAGCTGGTCAGGAGCTGTGGGTGGCCCAGGCCAGTGCAGCCTGTGTGTCTGCCCGTCACACTCCAGCACAGCCTCCTCCCTCAGGTTGACCCACACGACCCGCTGCAGCTTCCTCTTGGCATCTGTCAGGTAGGCCAGGATGCTTCCCAGGGCCTGAGGGGATTGTAGGGTACCCAGTGAGACCGACAGGCTCGGCCCAGCCCTCCCCACTCCTCTGCAGAGTGACCCGGGCCCCGGGGGCGGGTGGTCACCTTGGCGCTGGGCTGGGCTGTGCCATAGATGGGCATGCGGGGCACGCGTCGGAAGTTGGCCACATCCATCTCTCGGACGGTGCTGAGTGCGTCCGGGGAGACAAGGTCGTCCACTCTCTGTGGGAGACCACCCAGTCTGGAAGCCAGCGCCTCCCATCGCAGCCTCGGAGGGGCCCAGGGCCTGGCCTGAGGCCCTGGGGCTCGGGAACCAGCCCAGAGAAGGAGCAGAACCGGCCAGCCCTGCTGCAGGCTTGGTGCCACACCACTGCCCTGGAGGGACTGAGTGAGGTGCCCGCTCCAGGTGAGGAGGCTAGGGGCAAACACTGCAAGACCACCGGGCCCGGACTCCTTACCCAAGGCTCTCGGGGTTGAGGCTGAAGCAGAGGTACTGGAAAAACAGCCCATGCTGTGAAAGCTTCAGAGACCGGGGACACTTCCCTCCCTCGTGGGGACGCCACGCCATCACCCCTTTGCCTCAGATGCCCACAGGGTCCAGCCCCCCATAACCCACTGCCCCAGGAGGGCTGGCACACTCACCAGGGAGCCCTTGGCCAGTAGTTCCCCAGAGGCCAGTGGTCCCACTGGGCTCAGAGTCAGGGGCAGGCGGTACAGCTCCGGGTGGGCACACAGCCAGCGGCTGAAACTGAGGGCAAAGGCCAGCGGGTACTGCAGCCCAAGGCCAGAGAGAAGCGGAGTTCAGGGGCAGAGGGCCACCCTGGACCTGCCAGGCCTGCCCGCAGCTGGGGGGGACCCCTGGAGGGAGAAGAGGCAGGAGGAGGGGACCATGGTGGTTGAGGCCCCAAAGCCCAGGCCAAGGACAGAGACAGGGTCAGGGACAAAGTGGGAGGCGGCTCCAGGACACCGCTCCATCTCAGCCTCTGGTGGCCTGTCCCCAAATCACCCATACCACCTCCCTCGGGGCCCAGCACACACATGCACCCTCTCTCCTCCTGGGTCCATGGGGAGGTGGAAGGGGGTCATGGGGCTGCTCACCCAGAGCCTGACCTGCTCATGGAGATAGTAGTTAAAGAGGATCAGGTAGAAATATCGCTCTAGGCTCCGCAGTGTCCTCTGCTGGAGACTCTGCTGGCCACAGCTTCCCTGGAAGGAGTGGAACAGCAGCGGTAAAGCATTCAAGCTGGGGGGCCCTAGACTGCCCGGGCCCTACCTCTGGAAGGCCAGGAATTAAGCCTTAGAAGTCCCCCAAAGATGCTTCCTTTCTCTCTGACAACCCAGCCGTGCCTGGGTGGAAGTTCTACCACCCATCTAATCCCACTCCATCTTCATTACAGGGGAGCTTCGGGTGGCTCCCTCCGGGTGCCTTCCCAAGGCTGGGAGCCCAGCGCAGACCTGAGCCCCGGACCTTGCTCCACCACCACCGGTCATCTTGGGGCTGGGCCCCCTCGGTGGGGCAGGAGCAGATCATGAACGCCCCTCCCCTGATGGGAGAATTACAGACCCGCCTGCCCCACCAGAAAGGAAGGGGGGAAACTGTGTGGCTTGCTCCCAGTCGCAGTCACTGACAAACAGCTGGATGCCTCCCCAAACGATGTGCTCACCCCAGTCCACCACCCTGAGCAGGGGCTGGTCAGCGCACAAGTGCTCCTGCCTGCTGGGTCACAGCCCCCCTCTGGGGTCAACCAAGATGGGTGCACCATCCCGTGGGAGGCCAGGCCCTTGGGGATGCCTTACCCCACCTTTAGACTCTAGACCAGAGATGGGCAAACACTAGCAAAGGCCAGAGAGCAACTCTTTGATGCCCCCGCCACCACTCACTCTTCAGTGGTAGCAGGACGCGCAGCCAGAGGCAAGTCTTAACAAACGGGCCAAACTGCGGGCCGATAAAACTTCATGATTTATTAAAATTGCTGTGAGGAGGACATAGGCTGCAGTTGGCTGACCCCCTAGTGGTGATCCCTTGTGCTGCGATCTACGTGGTCGGCAGTTCGAAACCACCAGCTGCTCCTCAAGAGAAAGACTGCACTTTCTACTCCGGAAAACGGTTACCGGCTCGGAAACCCACAGGGGGGTCACTGTGAGTCAGCATCGACTGGACGGCAGGGAGTTCTGAGTTCCAGTCTAGAAGGAAGGGGGGGAAACAAACCCAAACCACCTTGTCTCCCTGCATGAAGATGCTCATCACCGCGAGGGCACGCCCGGGTGAGCAAGCAATTCAAGTGTCGGACAACAGAAGGCCGGCTGGGGAGAGCCCAGCGGGCAGCGCCCAGGGACACCCGCTCAGAGCAAGCTGTTCTGGGGTAGTGCTCGCTCGGCACCCCACAGACTGAGTGCACTGCAATTGTCCCCCAGAACCAGCCCGGCCCCTCTGACAACGGGGGAGACCGAGGCACACGTGCTTACACCTGCCAGGCCAGTGATGGCTGGCCCATCTACATGGCCACTAAAAGGCCCCTGGGCAGGCCAGCGAGGTCACGTGACTTGTCTAATAGCACGCTGTTACTAAGTGTCCGACCTGGATTTACAAAGGCTTATGGGCTCCAAAGCCTGGGGCTACACCAGCTTCTCCAGAGCCCTCAATCAACAACAAAAACGGTTTATAAAATATTAGGTATTATAGCTCCACATCACTTGTTCTCAGGGGGACAGCAGTCTAAGCTCAAAATAAACTTTAGGAAAGTTAAGCATCTAGAAAATAACTTTGATGTAAATCGGAAATTCCCAGTATGCCGTTCTGCAGCAATGTCTGGATTGCAAGCATCGATGTATCCCCTGCTTGTACTAATAAAGACCAAAGTATTTATATTTGTCTGAAGAACCTCTTGGGATGATGGGGCTAGAAAACATATTTACTTTAAAAATAAATATGCTGTTGGTTTAAAAAAAAAAAAGACCCAGGGCAAAACCCGGCGGTAGCGGCGACGTAGGAGCACTGCCCCCCGCAAAGCCGAATGAGAGCTGGCACTTAGGGTGTCACCACCAAATGCCAAAGCCGTCTAAGGGATGGGGACAGAGAAGGGCCGTGGGGGCTGAGGACAGGGCTTCCCCTGGCAGGACCTCCCCCCTCAACGTTCTCTCAGATAATACGGCATCAACATTCTCTTTGACAAAGAAACAACTGCCAAAGGAAGTGACAGGCTTAGAAGACGCGGAGCAGCGTTTCAAATTCTCCAGGAATCCAGGCTTTCGGGAGCCACCGAGGGTAGAGGAGCCCACGGAAACCACTACCCTGAGATCATCTTACACCGTAAACCAAAGACATCCCCTAGAGTCGATCTAAAACCAAAGAACGGTTTGGCTCAACGAGTGGAACCCTGTGTGGGATCCAATTCACTGAGCAGATGGAACCAGAGCGGGGCTGCGGCCTGTCCATGGGGGAGGGGCAGGGGGCCGAGAGGGGAGGGGAGCATGTGACCCTCGATCGCTGGATGGTACGAGCAGGAACTGCTGAGCTGGGGTGTGTTCTGCTGTGAACACCCCAAGAAAGAAAGTAAAAGTACCAATGGGTATTGAAAACAGCAGTCTGCTGGCATACGATTCTTCCTCGGTGCTGTGAGCCAACAAAGTCCCTCTCCTCCCCACAGCAAGGGGGCAGGGTCTGCTGGGAGCACCGAGAACCCACCACTCTCCCGGGAGCAGCAGCAGGGCCAACCACTGGTCTGCCTTCCCAAAGAGACAAGGGGTTTATGTCGGAGAGCGCCCTGAGCAGTCTGGGAACTATCTACAACCAGGGGTCCCCAGGAAGACCCCAGCCAGCACCAGACTCCCTCCAGTCTAACCTGCCGCTGAGGGGACTGTCCGGCCTAAGTACATTTTGGCTAGAAAACATGTTTACTTTAAAAATAAATATGCTATTGGTTTAAAAAAAAAAAAAGGCCCTGGGCAAAACCCGGCGGCAGCAGCAACGTAGGCGACCTTGTCCGTCCTTCCTGCAAAGGCAGCTCCCTCCTATCCCTGAGGCCATGGAAGCCACCGTTGCCGCCAGGGAGAGGCAATCCGAAAGGACCTAATAAAACCGGAGTTGGCGGCAACATTGGCCACAGGAGCAGAGGTGCCCGTATGCCCGCACACGCACACTCCTCCCCCGCCAGTGCCCTTACCTGAGCTGGGCTCTCCAGCTGGGCATCTTCGAGCTTCTTCCGGTTCCCCAAGACTACTTCTTTCAGGTCATGCAGGTCAGCACAGGTGGTGAGGGCTCTGTCCACCTGGGGCCCAGCCAGTCGAGGGAGAGAGGAGAGACAGCCCCGAGGACAGTGGGCAGCGAGAAGGTGGCGAGCGTTGGGGTCAGGACACAGCCCCCTCCCAGCCCCTCACTCACCTCCTCCACCACCCTCCTTCCCTGGGGCACTGTGCACAGGAAGCTCTGGATTAGCTGGAACTGCTCCAGGGGCAGGCACTTGGTCTGCGCAGGCACAGCCCTGAGGAGGAAGGGGCTCAGTGCCAGGGGCAGGGCTCCACGCCGCCCGCTGCCTCCTGCTCCTGTGATCAGCGAGAAACACTGAGCGGCAGCTTCCTAAACTTCCCGCCGAATGAGGTGGGGAGAAGCAAGAGGCAAGTCTCTCCCTGAGGAAACTGAGGTCAACTGACACTCCCCAGCACCGACCAGTCCGTAGCAAACCCCCGAGAGCCCACTCTGCAGCTCTGGCTCCTAGCTCTGACCCATCTCTCCCAGGGCATCCCGCCCCTCTCTGTCCCCAGCCCCCTTGAAATACGCCGGGTCCCGGGCACTCACTCTAGTTGCAGGGCAGACCCACTGCGGTGAAACAGGACCAGAGTGCCCAGGGCCATGCCCAGGTTTGTCCGGCCCACGCCTGTCTGGCAGCTGAACAGGAGGGCGGGGGGAGGCCCAGGGGCACCAGGGAGCAGCAACAGGCTGGGGGTCTCCTGAGGAAAGACCGTGCAGATCAGGCCACACTGGGGACCAAGTTGGAGAGGCTTCATGCCATCCAATCCACAGCAGGGGGTGGAGGGGGGGGCGGTCAGACACGTGGCACAAAGAGCACGCCGTCAGACCCCACAGCACCATCTGCCCACCTGCCCCCTGAGCACAGCCACAGCCCAGTTCTCTAGACGGCCATGCTGCCTCACAGCTACACCAGATTCAGAAGCCCCGGGCGGGGGGTGGGGGTGGGGTGGGGGGTCATGGGTTGAGAGCAGGGCTGCTGAGGGCAGGGTCAGCGTCTGTACCCACCAGGTGCTCTATGGAGACAGGGGAGGCTTTCTGGTCCCGGAAAAATTTGGTGTCTGAAACCAACAGGAGCGTCCCCCTTTGCCCCCCAGGGTCACCCTGAGTCAGAAGGGACTTGCTGGCAGTGAGCTGAGTTGAGATACAGACACACTGATGCGCACACACATGGAGATGTGTCGGTACCCTCCCCACAGACACGCGGTGCACATGCATGCCTGTGTCCTTCCCATTTACTGGTCTGACACACACGCCTATTCACCTCCCTAACTAACCCTTCTTCATGAGCACGGTCTGTGGGCTCTGTGTGGCCAAGGCAGTAGTGATCAACCCCAGCACAGATGCAGAGAGGCAGGGCGGGCACGGCCGCTGTCAGAGCAG